TTTTTTTAATAGTTCAATGTTGTAATACCTATTCTACATTGAGTCATGTGACTATTTGTCTTTACCGATATGACCGCGGTGACAATTTCTATATAAGATTTTGTGATTTACCTGACTTACGAGTACATGTTTTCGTACTTGCTAACAAACTGCACACAATTTAGGGGCAAAACATGTTTAATTTCTAATGAAAAAAAAAAAAATACCTTTCTTTTGAAATTCAAAAAAGTGAACTCAACAAAAAAAGAAGTATCGCATTTCAACAGCCTGTTAGCTTGTTTCCTGGCGACCTTTTCTTTTCATTCGATTCTTGTGGTATGTAATTGCTTTCACTGTACTTTTGTCAATACACAAAACCAAGCAAAGTTACAAGGTTTCGCCACGATCAGTGAGTACATATACAAATTGGAACAGATTACCGATTCTAACAGTGTCAAGGTGTGTTTTTTTTATCCTTTATTTGAAACGTTTTACCAACAAATTGGCGGTTGACACTAAAATTAGATTACGAAACGGTCAAAATTCAACTGACTACAGAAAAGGAGAAAGAAAATTTTATAAAATCAATTTACGATGTTGATGTTTCGCTATGATCATTACGGCCAGTATTCGTCCACAAGAACTACTAATTTTTATACTTAATCTTTAAGGCCGCTGATAATTCACACCAACAGACGCCATTTTAACTCTTGTTCGTATGAATGATTGACACCAGTATTTTGCACTACTCGTTGTCCCAACTTGAAAAAACATTCTCTGGAACGACAAAAGAGTTTTAGGCATGACTTTACCCAAAACTAAAAGCTGTTCAAAGCCGACAAATCCAATGAGCCTATTACTATGTAAATTTCATTGAAATGAATTCCATTTAATTGCACCAAATCAGGCAATTGCAAATATAAAGCAGTACTCCATATCGAAGAAGAAAAAATTCTGGAATAAAGTTGCGAAAATAATTTTACTAAAGTTTTTTTTTTTTTTTCAAGGAAATAAATTTGGTACAGCACAGAAAAACAGGGCGCATGAAAGAAAGGGAGGGAGGGAGGGTAAACACAGCCTAACAATATGAAGTCTATTGTGAGTACAACATTCAGGTCCCTTTGATCAAGTCAGCCATAAAAAGACCTCTCTCTTAAACTCATTGAGTCTGTTCAGACAATATATGCCTTTCAACCAGCCATTGGTATTGACTTTCACAGCCACCCATACGCCCTTGATTAATATCGTGAACACCACTTGAAATCCCCTCAGTACTTTTTTTCTACCTAGACGCTAGAAATTGAAAGCGAACGTGACTACACACTCCCCCCAGCCTGATTCTTTTTTTCACCTTGTCTGTTTATTTATTTGTCTATTGTTCTCTTTTGATCTCTCTAAAAAAAAAACATACAAAGAGATGCTCTTATTCAATCACCATTACAAGCGATGAAGACCAGAGAAGGCATGGTTGCGCTTTTATCAGGTTTATCGGCAAGACCTCAGTGTTGTTTTTTCAAACAACAAACTCGGACTGCACCATTGTTGTTAGGACTGGTTTATACATAACGAAAACGAAAAGTTATAACGAGGTTACTCAGTATCAACAGCTTAGAGATAATTTTTTTAAACCGTGCATTTTCAAATGATGTAATAGTTTATTAATTTTCGTCATGTCACGCATTGGTGAAGTTAATTCTTCCTTGGTGATCTTGTAATGTTTAATAATATTTGATGAAATTATCTTCCTATTCAGATTAACATTAGAATTCACTTTATGGGTGCATTAATTACTATATTTACTTTCAAATAACATAATCTAATATTCATTATTATAAAAAATTTAGTCGCCAAAAAAGAATATTTATGAATACTTTGTTGACATTTTCATCTATCTTTGTCGAAACACATTTAAAATCATTTAATGACACGAATTAAGACTTTCAGATGACATGCCGTAAATAAATATCAATAATGAATTATTGAGAAATAAATTGAGAAAACATGAACTATGAATAAAATTTAAAACAACTAAAACTAAATATACTATTAAGACAGACTGTACTATGTGCAACAGGTGGGATACCCGAATAAATGGATAAATTGAAACACTCACAAATTTAATAACCAATCACACAGCTAAGAAGTTTCCAGAATAGAAAATCATACATTGAAAATTTATCTTCAAAAAAAATGAGAAATTTGTAATTTGGGTAAAATTATTCACATGTATGAACAAAATATGTGTGAAAATTCCGGAAATCAAAGGCTGCAACATTTTTGTTTGCATCATTACTAATCATCTACATCCCACACCATCTGTTGTTTTTTTGTTTTTTTTCTGTGTACCGGTTACCCTCTCCTCAGCAATCTGACCTAACTAGATTTCAGAGGGTACATTGGCATTTGTAAAAATCATACTTCCTGAAATTTACACTACAACAATACTGTGGAATACTTTATTCTCGCTGGAATTAATATTCACTGAAAAAGCTTTTGGGGCGTTTTGTATGGACTTTATTTTCACTGATTATTGATGAGTTTAATGTGAAATATAGAAAAAAAAGTATATTAGCCGTATTTTATTTTCACGGAATCATCCCTTCAGCAAAAATAGCGAAAATAAATTCCAAGCGAAAATAAAGTATTCTACAATATTTCATGATATGAAGCTAAACCATAAGCTATAAAAAGGAAAATTTGAAAAAAAAATGGTAATTTGTTTACAGTGAGTTTTGAAGTTGCGTACGTACTACCCCTTTGAAGTACGTTGGCACTAGAGTAAAGTAAATACAGACGGTTATCTAACGATAACAAATCTGAATACAGTACACGTCTTGTGACAGAAATTCATACAGGTTACGCAAATGACCCGAAGAATTGCCACTTCATTGTTACCAACATTTTTTCAGTTTCTCAAGCTAGCACAAGCAGATACAGACGAGGAATTCGGTAGTACTCGAACAGGTAGGTAGGGAGGATAAATATTTAGGAAGAACACTTCCTCTCCTCGTTCATTTGCACTCGAAAATATCTCAACGACGCCTACCTCATGGAAATGCATGTTTACTAAAACGTAAAGCTTCACGTAATTCAAGCAGGAAATATTGTGGTTGTTTAGGATTCATTACTTTACGATTGTTTCTTTTTTTTTTAAAAAAAAATAATTCTTTTTTGAATCAGCAGCGGGAGAAAATCTTGTATAAATAGAAATTTTAAAAATAATAATCTTCAGCTGGATTTCACGGTGAAACTAATAATTATTATTATTATTATAGTTGAAAATATATAATAAATCTGCTATTCTTAATGGAATTTAATCTTGTAAGGGAACTGAATCAGTGAAAATACAAAATCCAGTGATTATTTACCCTGATATTGTCAGCAAAAATATTATAGTATTTCATGACACATTCCACTCTCCGACGACAATAGGCATATGAAGTTGCTTAACTTTTCGGACATTGGGTGACTGATTACCGTTCATGTAATCGAACTGTTTTTTGTTCGAATATGCTATACAAAACCAAGTCTACTATGCAAAGAGCGTGAAATTGCTTCCTTGCTTTGGTCTTTATTATTGGCACTAGGTAGATCTCGGCGAACTCATTGATTTCCACGACAACGGTAACGTGAGAAAAAGCTACAAAGACGGCGAAATGACGATTGTATGTCGAACGCATAAGAGGTCAGATGCGGTTCAATCCTTGTTGGTTTCTTTCACTTATCGGATAGGTCACAGCAATGATGGAATGTTTGATATCAGTGGAACATTTTAGTTTTTTTTTACCGAAAATAAACGACCCGCGAAATTGTTTCGATGTACCTGTTGAACTTGATGCAATGCAGAAAACGTAAAACTAAAGTTGAAAAGTTTAGCATCTACTTGGCAAACGCGCATCGATTAAATAACAATGGCTTACCTCGTCAAGCATGAAGTAAGAGAGATTGCAGTCGATTACGTTTTCGGTCGTAAATCTCTCTTTTTTGGCAAGTACAGCAGTCTTTATTTTGAGTCGTAAAATCGTCACGTAAATAACGAAGAATTGGGTGAACGACGTCGGAATATGTATCAACTGCCGGCATCAAAAATGTCGCCCTGAAGTGGAAGTTGTGAACTAGGCCGCCAGACGTTAGTCGGTGCGATAACGTTTTCGCTTACTCTTACAAGAAAAAGGGTAATTAGCAACAGTACAACTGTTTTTAGAAAAAGGTTGACAAAAGGACAAATTCAATTAAAACAAACCGTTTAGCATATTCAGAAAGCTAACATAGTGAAAGAAAACTTGGTTCTAGTTGTAGTGTACGACTACTTATCGTTTCGCGTCGTTTAAAATGTCTGTTTGTTTCACCTCTACGGTTTTTATAATTATATGTGCTTGGGGCAGAACACCTCGACGATACGGTCTGAGAGAACTCCATAACAAATCGTGAAGTCTGACCCACAAGATTTCCGATAACGGTTTAGAGTTACACATGGTTTGATAGTAGTACCACTACTAGTACCAGGGCACAATGTCGACGTTTTTTTGCAGTCGATGTTGCGTCTGTGTATTCGCTTTTCATCGGTAGTGGTCCTCGGGGGACATGTTAACACAGCCCGGTTATTAGTTTCCTAGTGTTGTGGAAACCCGGGTCACTGCGACAAAGTGAATACTTTGATTCAGCGGCAATCGGCCATATGATGTCCACCGACCTGACCTCCTCCGGTGCCGATGAACATTATTTAGACTGTGTGTACATACAAGCATGTACAACAAATATACGTTGGCGCTAAGTATGACCTATCACTCAGAAACGGACAAACGTACCACCGAAGGTGAAGTTGGGACAGGAATCGTGGACACTGGGACGAAAAGTTAGGAAATGTGTGTACCGCACTATAGTCATGGATGATCGGTGAAATGGAAGCAATGGTCGCGAATGCGACCAGGTGACACTACAACAAATGCAGCGTAGGGAACCATAAAGTGGGAAAAAAACCAGCGCGATATTGATCGACGCCGACTGTCCTAGTTACTTACCGTAGAACATTAGCAGCGATAGTATAAGCAACTGGAGTAGCTCCATGGTCAGCGCGATATGTCGCCTCTCCGACGATCAACTCGAGAAATGATCTCAATCACAGCTGTGTCGCCTTTCTTGTAGTCACCCAAAAAGTGATGAAAACACCGAAGCACGCGACGCAACGGACGTACAGGGCGCCCTACAGAGCTGATGTACGACAGATCGTTTTGTTTGAAAACTGGACTTGGTGGTGATTGTCATGTAAAGTATTGGTAAATAAACAAGCGCCACCAGTGTCAATCATCTGCTCATTACATATTCAAATTAGATGAGGTCAACTGTATATATTATGTTAATTAGCACGATTGTCTCATTACGTATTCAGAAGGACTGAATATTAATAATATCCATAATCATAGCGAAATTAATGATTTACGCAACAGAAATTAGTACTAAATAATAATATATCAGCGTGTAAGTTAACTTCATGCGTTATTTTGCACGGAGTGTGCTTAAAACTGCAAAAACGTATAGAACTACTTTACCTCGATGTGCGGACGTACACGCCACATTGTAGGCGTGCGGCGAATGCGGAAGTGGGGACCCGAGTATAAAGGCTTCCGACATGGAGGTTTCGTAGTTGATTAGTTCAGACAGTTACTGAGTGTTGATGTGGTTGAGTAAAACTTCCGATCGGTAGCCTCAACGTGAATATACCGAAAGATGGACTCGTTATCGGTGTCCAGGTGCAATATTTTAACTATAGGATTTATCATTTCTGCATTTTCAGGTAAGTCTTTAAGGCACGATTTTCAGATTATTTTTCATTCCTGATGCGAGTATCTTCCCCATTCAAGTCGGCACAATTGCACGTTCGATTATACGATATATTGGTCCATATGCAAACGCTTACAAACAAAACGTAGTCAATAACCACTGATAAACCACGAAATATGTCCATATTCTGTTTGGAGATGGCTCCTTACCCCTGTCAAGTACTTTAATCAAGCTGTTTCTGTCTCGATCGTATCATGGATACCACCATACACTGTAGTGGTGTTGGTTTCACTTGACGAAGGTGTGATCAACAGATCATAATACAACAAAACACCACCGACTGTTTCGAGAATTGGTAACAATTGTTAATCCATCAATACGGTATACCACAGAGCCATTGACAGATAGATCATCGGCTTCTAATGCTTTTATCAGTTACGTTTGTTCAAGGATTTCTTTTATTTTAGTTTCTCTCGGTTTAATGGGATTTTCGATGAGCGGCCCAAACCCACCTTTACAAACTTGTTGATTATGCGTTTCGGCGATCACTGAAGTCTGATTAGTGTTTACATTGGCAGGCAACTTCACGTTCGCAGAGTTCTCTCCCAATGCCACTCAAACATTCGGCGCGTTTTAAGAAAAGGTGTGTGGGTGAACAAACGTTACGGTAAAACATGTCTGAGTCATTGTACCCATACGAGTTACTAAGAACTGAAAATCTACACATTTAACTGCTGATCGAAATTACCTCAAATGTTTCAAACAATAACTCACCAGCCAATAACATAATCTACAAGGCATTGATATATTTGAATACTGCTTACAAAAAGCGTCCAAAGAAATCGGTATAGACCATTTTACATAGGATTAACTGCAAAGTGGAGCAATTGATGGAGACCCTGGGCGAAATGAAAAAAACAAAACAACGACCACAGCGTTTGTGAAATCAAACCACGAAACTTATTATGTCAGTTGCAGTTCCACGGTAAATAAGAGGTCTAGTTTTCCTTGCGATTGTTACTGTTACGTTCGAAACTGACTGTGTTAAGTTTTCAAATATTACAAATATCACCAACCAAGAACGCTCCCGGGCCAGTGTCCGGTTTTACAAATACAACCTTTAGATTTTTCGAGTGGTCGTAAAAAAATAACAAATTAGTTGTTGGCAGTAAAACGCGATGTCCTTCTAAAGCATCCTGGAAAATGACTCAAATATAAACACTACGAAACAATAGCAATGTATCATCTGCATGGGTTTATTGGGTGGACACATCACCACCTTTCCGCCAGAACATGTTTTCACTATAAACACACTCGACATGTTTAAATAAAAGTGAATCTCTTGTAATTTACGTATACATCATTACAATATGTGATGCGGTGAGTCCGAGTATGTAGAGTGAAAAGTAAAACATAAATTTATTATTGATGGAAGGAAATCTGATGGAGTCTCTTTCTAGGATTTTTGTTTTTTTGTATTTTGGAGTGGATTATATTGTTTGTTTGACTAAAATAAGAAACCAGAGTTGAACTTTCCAATTGATTTTTTTCCCAGTTTATTCAGTTGGAAGTTTTTTTTTTTTATTATCTCACTTTCAAAACATAAAACTCACAATTTCCTGCTGGACCAAGGTGAGTTTTTATTGTTGATAAAAATCAGACATCCTCTTGAGTCAAAGTTAGATGATTTATTCACAGGCCTACCCGAGACCTACGGCTTGTAGTAAAAAAATTCCATGGTTTGGAGCAGAAACAATTCTTCTTTGCCTAACTCTTGTTTTTAAAATAAAGATTTATAGTTTTGAAAAACAAAACAAAAATATTAAAAGATACTCAAGTATGAATTCTTTATTTATGAGTTAGCTTCTATCATGCATTATATGCTGATGTTTAGTTTTAAAATTATTTGTCATTATTGATACTCTTTTTGAGTGTACATATTTACATACATAGAAAACGGATGGTTTAGAATTGATACCTTACAAAATATGGTCAACATTAATTGTGTGTTACAAAAGTATTTTATCTCAAAAACATTAAACCAACAATTATGAAATATCTGAAACAAGCACTGATTATGAGTAGCGGCTAGTTAACTTTCTACCTTACACAGAACTGCATGTTAATAATAGCAGTGGTTCTGTGCTGTGAGTGCAGTAGCGGTAACTCCATTTTTCTGTTCAGACCCTTCTTCAGTTGGGAATTTGTTCTCAGTGAGTGGAAGGTGGAGCATTGTGATTATACGGGAGGTGTCGTTGCCACTTCTCTGCGTCCATTATTTGGTTGCAGCAGGTGTGAATATGGACTTGTAAAGCTTGCTCACTGATGTGGTTTTTTTCACCAGGCCGCCTGGCATTTGACGTATTCTTGCTAAATACCAGTGTGTTGTATTGTTTCCATTATTTTATCTAGTCATGCAGAAGGGAAAGTCCAAATCCCCATAAATTACAGGATTTTATGGTATTTAAGTCCGATTGCCCCTCCCTTCGATATTGTTTAAGCCTGAATATTAATTCTGTATCGGTCAAATACAAAAATCCAAACAATCAGCTAAGCTTCTCCAATTTTTCTTTGACTGCTACGAGTCTTGAATTTCCTTCTCTTGTTACGAGAAAATATAAATAATGAGATGACGAAATAAATAATCATTTTCGAATTAGTGACATCAGGCTGACCCCAGAAATTATTCGTACACATTTAAGTTCACCCAGCTGACACTGAATTAATTTTGTCGTATTAGACGCGTACTGATTTAACCCCTATCTGCGCTTCATGCATCTCGCGCTTCAGTCGTATATAACTTAATAATAAAATATATAAATCTGATCCTGTGATATTTTAAATAATCGCTAAATAAACATTATTTTTATTTAAATCATCAAGGATCACAACTAAGGCAGATTTAATTACACCCCCTGTCCATACTGCATGTAGTATCTATTGAAATCTATTTCTGACGAACTTCACAGTCACCGCAGTCAGTCAAAGTCATCATGCTGGTAGTCAGTGACCTTGTTGTCTTTGATAAAATGATATTAATTTTATGAGTGACAGAACTAGTGAACTGGAAGTGATTTTCTGCAGTTTGATTAACTTCCATGTGAATATATGTAAATTACGAAAGCAGAAAGATTTTGTCTAAGATTAACGTGGTTGTAAGTTGAAGAATGTAAATTTGCTGAATTCTGCTGGTTTTGCTAACCATCCTTTTATTTGGATTAAAAATGCTGTACTTAATAAAACCAACAAAGACAATTTGAAATAGCACGCAAATAAATTTTGGGTTCAAAAAGGAATAGTTTATCAACAAACAAAACAGAAATATCACATGATATATTTGAGGGATTGCAGTTATATTAAATCTGTCAGTTTATGAGAATGTTTATTTTTAGGTGAAAAATTGTGTGTGCTTATATTGGAAAAAAAGCTGCAGAAATTGCATCGATAAACTTTCTGGTGTTCCTATTAGGCCTGTAGTTTTTTGTGCTGAAATGATGTAATCGTACTTTAAAACAAACTTTAAAAATAAGTTTTAGATTTACACAAACAGTAACGTATAATGTAATGATGGCTTTGGATTGGGAAACTTTGAGAAAGTAGACTGAAAACAAGTCAGTGTGAAAATACTTAGAGAATTGTTTGTTGAAAGGATGTCATTGCATGGAGATTCTATCCATCAAAACAAGAAGAGTGAAAATGCAAGGCTTAGACACTGGAGCCTAAATAATTAGTTACCGCAATGATGGAAATGCACTTGGAAACCCATTTTACTTCACCAAGCAAATAGAATAGAAACTAAAGCTTAGAGGAAGAGGGGGGGGGGGTCATGCTTCTACTTCATTACAGCCATGTTCATTGTTATTTTGAGAATTTCCCTTGATTCTTACAGAAAATGCATGCTTATAACTTTTTAGGCTTCACCTGTATGCTAAAACTAAATAGCTGAGTGATCAACTCGATTGGTAATCGCTATCGATATCATTCAGTGTTTGTAATGACATTGACTCCATTGTATCGCACCGTATGTACTTTGCGCTTCTCAATAGGTCCGATATTACCTGGTAACGCAGGTAATTGGGAGCTCTAATGAGCTTTACAGCAGGGCGCTCCCGTTGACCTGTATTCGCATTAATGTTGAGAAATTGGATTTTTACTGTCAGTTTATTTACGCACAGGAAATTTCAAATCCCTGCCTAATATAATATAAACGTGCCTTTACTGGAATTAAGTTCGTGAAATTGAACTTGATTGCTAATTTGGGTTGTATGTTTGCTGTCGCGGTTTTATTGACGTCTGTTGTTTTATCGGAGGCTATCATGTCTGTATTATTATATTTATTGAAGTCTGCAATGTTTTTCAGTTTTATAATCAATCTTGTTCCGAAACCTAAAATATCAGCAATGTTGACGGACTATTTCGAAAACTGAAATGAAAGATTGAATAATAAGGCTCAACTGTACGTTATTCTAATAACTTGACCAATTTCAATTCAAAATGGCCGCCTGAGAAAGGAGCAACCTGCACTCGGCGACATGTTTGTTTGCAATAAAATGGGCGAAAGGTTTACCTTATGTACCACCTGATACTATTTTTTATTTGTGTACTTCAACTCTTGTGGCTTATTCTTGATGTTAAAATTGTTCGTATTTCAACAATTTTTACGTTTGTTTTCCGTTAGTCATGTACCTCCTGAACAGCGTACAAACAGATGTATGAAAAAAAAAGTAACGTTTGACTCCTACGCTGGTCCCCTGGCCCCAAGACTAGTAAATTATTGACCAGAATAGTCAAAATTGTTAAGGGAACACATCCCAGGGGAGTGAGCAATAAATTATGTGCTTTTGAAAGAAAACTCTTTCTGTATGACTGTATAGTTTGACATGATGTTTTGTTGTAAGGTTCACGATAATAGTAACTCGCTCCTCTTATTGCTACGCAGCAAAACAACAAAAACTGATATTGTTATATCCATTCTGTCTTTTGCCATCTCATGGAAATTTTTTTGGGTTCATT